GAATTTTCTTATAAATATCCTATTGCTCTGAGGTTCATAGGCCTGACTGAAACAGCAGGGACGATCTCATTTGTACTTTTATAGTTGTAGAGGGATTTGCAAGAGTTAACGCAATTTTCCATAATATTTCTTACCGACTTCAGGAATAAAGGGAGAGTTCCCTTTTTAATCAGTATCTGAAACATTGCTGAGTCTAAAGAGAAACAGGACTTCTTCCAGATTTAACAAGACTTTTCCAAGTGCTGATAATTTTAAAGGTACAAAGGAAGGCAAATTTTGAAAGAGGATTTCAGCAAAGCATTTGTGGGTAGCAGGCAGTGCAGTAGTCTGGAGGATATACTTAGCAAATTTCTCTGCTTGTGTGCAGCCTTGTGCCTTTCAAAGATTGTTTTTCCAAAAAGAAATGGTAAATGATTTCTTTTGATGTAATGAAAACCTTCAAATCAAGTAAGCATCTTCAGGTTCTGTTATGGTGATGTTTATCTCAGAAAACAAACCGTTTCACTAACTACCAGTTGAAAGGCAGAGAAACTCCTTTCATTTTGTACAGTCACAGAAGTCTTTTAAAGGCATTTTGTTCACATTCTTTGCCAGGCAGGCAGGCAGACTACATTAAGATGGCTGATCTGACTCAGCTATTGAGCCCAAGGACTGAAGAACAAGCACAAAAAAAGGCAATTCTGATGCTGCCAAGCAGTATTTCTCAGGGACTACCGGTTTGTTTCCTTACCACATTCTGTGCCCCCACTTAGTGAAGCCTTCCTAGGACCACATGGACTCAGAGATAAAGCTAACTAACTGAATTATTGAATGCCTCCTTATAAATAAAACTGGCTTGTTGAAAAATGACTGTTAGAAAAAGTCCTTCTGCATGATTATACAGAATTAATAGGTAATAACTATATGTATTGTTACATATGAGGAGGATTATGCTTTTGTTGATCCATAACTGCTATTTGTTGTCTAATGCTAAACTGAGTAATAAAGTGCAATAAATAAAATCCTAAGTGTACAACATGTAGGCATGCCACCTCCCTCCCTCTTAGCACATATGCTAGCTAATGGGAGAAGCAACTCTGTGGCTAGCTCTTTGGAGAGCTTACCTTCTTATTAATATGATAAATTATGCTATTCTTTCCAAGAGCTAGCCACATAGTGTGTGCTATTGGTCTGCTATGTGACATAACACTGTCAGTAAGTTTAGCTCCTCCATTGTGGGTCTAATCTTTGTGCAATAGAGTCTGCACATAAATAGGAATCCAAGGATCCCTAGGAGACAACTATCCCTGCTGTGTATCCTGAAAGGTGCCAAGACTAAGGTATGAGAATGACTTACTGTACATAAATGTCGCAAATGTTGCAGAGTACATTGGTATTATCCTTGTTAAAAAACTACAGCTTGTCTGACTTGTGGCTGGAACCCCTCCAAAGAATAAAGCTGAACTTACAGGTCTACAGAACCTTTAGAACCTACAGAAATCATTTCATTACATGCACGGGAGAGTTTTTAGCCTTTTCTGACTCAAGACTCCTGAAAATGCAACAGCCATCCTGCCTATCAGCTGAGAGTCTTCTCACCTGCCAATTTATTAAAGGTCATTTATAAGAGGTCACAAGATGCCAACTTGTCATTGGAACTGGCAGCAGAAACCCCAGTCTCACAATCAACAAACATTGCTGGTTTTTTTTTTGCAAGAAGTTTTCACTATAAGCTTGTGGTCTGGAAAAAGGGCAAATAGGGAAGGTCAGTCACAGGGGAATGGCTGATGGATGTATAGGGGGTGAGCAAAATTATGAGTATAGTGAGGAAAGAGGAGTGTGGTCCTGAAGAAACACTATATATTGGGCAGATGGGAAACCTTGAGTCAGTCGTTGATCAAAATATGAGCAATGTATTCTGTGCTCCTTCCTTGTCATCTCTAACACCTATAACCAAGCAGAGCAATTCTGCAGATTTCCCTTCTCTCTACTACTGCATTGAAGGGACATATGCATAATGTAGACATGATGATATCTGACTTACTGTATGGCATTCATTTACTGTACCATACTGTATCAAATTAGAATGCTTAAATCCATCAGCTTCCATTAACAATAAAAGCAGCTTAAAAATACATTAGAAACCTGTCAACTTTATTTGAGGTACTTCTGTAGGACGTTCTATTTTGAGCAATAAATATTACAAAAAGATCTGAAGTTTTCAGAGGTTTCCTAGAATTGCACCACATCTCATCTCTAACATCAAATGGCATCTTTAACATGTCTTAAAGTTGTGTTAGGATCAAAGACATCCCTCAGCTCACTGTTCTCCTTAACAAACTTCAGCAATCTGTTTTCCTTCTCACCAGTACAGTGTATTTGTGCACAAAAATAACTTCCTTAAAATACACAGAGGAAGCATAGTATGAATTAAGGTACAAATTTTCTTTTAAGGAATATATGGAATGGGAATGGTTCAATGTCTACACCATTGATATAAATTTCGTCTGAAGAATAAGAGAGATGATCAGAAGAGTAACGTATTTCGAGACCTGCTCATATAATGGCCTCTAAGTAGATTGCAACTAAGTAGATTGCAAACTTCCTGCTAAGAAGCATTTGACCTGCTTCATTGCTTATCATTTGGTTTCTGTCCCAAGGGCTATGACTATGTAAAGTTTCAAGGAATATTTTGAAGAAGTTCTTCAACAGAGAGAATATGGAATTTGCAAGCATATTTTAAATATGACGTGCTGCCTTCAGAAGTGGAAAAATTATCTGGAAGATGAGCACAAAAATATAACAAGCCAGTGGATATGTGCTGGGTAAATACTGGCTAAAAGCGGGAAAAATCTTTACCCTGCATCTAGATAGTACAGGGAAATATCTAGATAGTACAGAAGGAAGTGCAGCAGGAGGGCCAGGAGACCTCCTTGGATGGATAAGGAGCTCCTGAGGAAAATTCAAATGAAAAAAGAGGCTTATAGTAAGCGGAAGCAAGGACAGGTGGCATGGGAAGAGCACAGGGTTGTTGTCCGAGAAGCTAGGGACCAGGTTAGGAAAGCTAAGGCCCAGTTAGAATTAAACTTAGCTAGAGGTATTAAAGATAACAGGAAGGGATTCTACAGGTAAATAGCAAATAAAAAACAGACTAGGGAGAATGTAGGCCCTCTCAGGAAGCTCTCAGGAGAACTGGCTACCTTGGATTTGGAGAAGGCTGAGGTTCTGAATGACTTCTTTGCCTCGGTCTTCACTGCCAAAGGCTCTGACCACACCACCCAAGTCTTGGAAGGCAGATGCAGGGACCATGAGAATGAAGACCTTGGGCCCACTGTAGGAGAGGATCTGGTTTGAGACCATCTTAAAAATCTGAACACACACAAGTCCATGGGTCCTGATGAGATCCATCCGCGGGTCCTGTAGGAGCTGGCGAATGAAGTTGCGAAGCCGCTGGCCATCATATTTGAGAAATCATGGCAGTCAGGTGAAGTCCCCAATGACTGGAAAAAGGGAAATATAACCCCCATTTTCAAGAAGAGGAAAATGGATGACCTGGGGAATTACAGACCAGTCAGTCTCACCTCTGCGCCTGGAAAAATCTTGGAGCAGATTCGCCTGGATGGCATGCTAAGGCGCATGAAAAACAACAAGGTGCTTGGTGACAGCCAGCATGGCTTCACTAAGGGGAAATCCTGCCTGACCAATTTGGTGGCCTTCTATGATGGGGCTACAGAACTGATGGACAGGGGTAGAGCAGTTGATCTCATCTACCCGGAATTGTGCAAAGCGTTCAACACTGTCCCACACAACATCCTTGTCTCTAAATTGGAGAGACATCAATGTGATGGATGGACCACTCGGTGGATAAAGAACTGTCTGGATGGCCGCATGCAAAGAGTTCTGGTCAATGGCTCAATGTCCGGCTGGAGACCAGTAACGAGTGGTGTCCCTCAGGGATTGATGTTGGGACCGGTCTTGTTCAGCACCTTCATCACTGACATGGACAGTGGGATTCAGTGTGCCCTCAGCAAGTTTGCTGATGACACCAAGCTGTGTGGTTCAGTTGATACGCTGGAGGGAAGGAATGCCATCCAGAGGGACCTCAACACGCTTGTGAGGTGGGCTGATGCCAACCTCATGAAGTTTAACCATGACAAGTGCAAGGTCCTACACCTGGGTCAGAGCAATCCCAGGCACAGCTACAGGCTGGGCAGAGAAGAGATTCAGAGCAGCCCTGCGGAGAAGGACTTGGGGGTGTTGGTTGATGAGAAAATGAACATGAGCCGGCTTCAGTGTGCGCTCACAGCCCAGAAAGCCAACCCTATCCTGGGCTGCATCAAAAGGAGCGTGACCAGCAGGTTGAAGGAGGTGATCCTGCCCCTCTACTCTGCTCTTGTGAGACCTCACCTGGAGTATTGTGTGCAGTTCTGGCGTCCTCAACATAAGAAGGACATGGAACTGCTGGAACAAGTCCAGAGGAGGGCCACGAGGATGATCAGGGGACTGGAGCACCTCCTGTATGAAGACAGGCTGAGAAAGTTGGGGCTGTTCAGCCTGGAGAAGAGAAGGCTGCGTGGAGACCTCATAGCAGCCTTCCAGTATCTGAAGGGGGCCTATAAGGATGCTGGAGAGGGACTCTTCATTAGGGACTGTAGTGATAGTACAAGGGGTAACGGGTTAAAACTTAAACAGGGGAAGTTTAGGTTGGATATAAGGAGGAAATTCTTTCCTGTTAGGGTGGTGAGGCACTGGAATAGGTTGCCCAGGGAGATTGTGAATGCTCCATCCCTGGCAGTGTTCAAGACCAGGCTGGACGAGGCCTTGGGTGCTATGATTTAGCGTAAGGTGTCCCTGCCCACGGCAAGGGGGTTGGAACTAGATGATCTTAAGGTCCTTTCCAACCCTAATTATTCTATGATTCTATGATATTACCTAGATAGATATGAGTGTCTCAAGGTCTTGTTCAACATCTTCACTGCTGACATGGACAGTGGGATTGAGTGCGCCCTCAGCAAGTTTGCCGATGACACCAAGCTGTGTGGTTCGGTTGATACGCTGGAGGGAAGGAATGCCATCCAGAGGGACCTTGACATGCTTGTGAGGGGGCTGATGCCAACCTCATGAAGTTTAACCATGACAAGTGCAAGGTCCTACACCTGGGTCGGAGCAATCCCAGGCACAACTACAGGTTGGGCAGAGAAGAGATTCAGAGCAGCCCTGCAGAGAAGGACTTGGGGGTGTTGGTTGATGAGAAAATGAACATGAGCCAGCTTCAGTGTGTGCTCGCAGCCCAGAAAGCCAACTGTTCAGCCTGGGGAAGAGAAGGCTGCATGGAGACCTCATAGCAGCCTTCCAGTATCTGAAGGGGGCCTATAGGGATGCTGGGGAGGGATTCTTCATTAGGGACTGTAGTGACAGGACAAGGGGTAACGGGTTAAAACTTAAAGAGGGGAACTTTAGATTGGATATAAGGAAAAAATTCTTTCCTGTTAGGGTGGTGAGGCACGGGAATAGGTTGCCCAGGGAGGTTGTGAATGTTCCATCCCTGGTAGTGTTCAAGACCAGGTTGGACGAAGCCTTGGGTGACATGGTTTAGTGTGAGGTGTCCCTGCCTATGGCAGGGGGGTTGGAACTAGATGATCTAAAGGTCTTTTCCAACCCTAACCTTTCTATGATTCTATGATTCTAAGTGCTCATGTACTCCTATAGACTAGGTTGTGCAATGAGTGAGGAATCACATTCTAAAAAATTCAGAGAAGAGTCTGAATCAATCAATAATAAATCACTTTCACCTGTTCTCTCCTTCATACTTTGCATATATAAGGAAAAGCAATCTTTCTGAAAAACCCCAACAAAACCCTACTGATTTACCCAGTATTTACACTGCTGATTCAAGAAGTACTTTCCAAAACTCTACCAAAAATCCATTTACTTACCAGCAACAAGCCCTCAATGGATTTCCCTTAAGTTTTATGAAAGAAGTCGGGATGTGAAAAACCTCACCAAGTTATTTCATATATAAACTCAGAAGATCTAAGAAATCCAGATGTGATAATTAGAATGATTTTATACATGCATACATACACATACACATTCCTTGTCTTCCCTGTAAGTACAAGGAATAGAATTTTCTTTATTATCAAAAAAAAAAAGGGTTTTCAGGAAGAAACAATGAACATACTATTCATTCATATCTTCAAATTCCTTATTACTTGCATGCTAGTACCCTAAACATAAATCAATAGACTGATACATGCCATAGAGTTTAGATATGAATTTAACACTTCCTCATAAAGTTAGAGAGGAGAAGTATAAAATCACCTTGAATTTATTATTTCTAGAAAGAGTAGACAAAAGTCTTTGAGGATTAATTTCATGCTGTGGGTTAAATTTCACTCTCACGATAGGCCAACTATTGCCTGGGGCTCTACAGATAATGAACCTGCCAAGGGATTAGCAAGGAAACACTTGTGTTATTATAAATCGTGTACACTTCCCTTTCTAACCAACTTCATCCTTCATGACACTAACAAATTACACTCTTTGTCCATGTTTCAATATAATGTGAGGCTGTGAATGAACTTGAACCAACAGTACATTAGATAATGTCTTCTCAAGGTATAAATAGCTATTAAATTTGGTTGAAAAATCCAGACCTCCTAAAGTGAGAATTTAAGATATTTTATGTCAGATCTTGAGAAACATTTGTATGTAAATATCACCTGATACTGTCTAAAATGGAGAAATTTGCACAAAGGAATTAAATGTAACACAGAAACAGAGAAACTTTTAGGGAGAATTAATCTACTACAAGGAGCCTAAATCATCCCAAGCAAAGACATTTATCACTTGGCTTCACTGTAAATAATCAATTTACTGAAGAGCTCAAACACAGAATTTATCATATGTATATTAGACTAGAAGTTCCAATAACGATTTTATGCCTAAGGAATGCCAGTTAGAATATTTATGATGCAAATATAGATGCTTTATTTGTTCCTTTCCTCCTTAATTTTCTTGAAAAGCTTCACACTTTTACTGTAAAAACCAACTCGGTTTCTAGACAATCCGTGCTGAGATATGCTAGCATGCACTGGTAGTGAAATTACATATTACAGTGTTAAAGTTGAAATCTGACATCTTGGGTTAGATCCTTTATTTACAGACTACCATATAAACAGAAAGGCAGGAAAGAAGTCCAAGCTCTGAACCTTCTTTTACTGACCCAAATCAGCTTAGGACAGCATTCCCTGAATTTTAGTGATGGTAATATTACTGCTAATGTCTCCTTCATGAAGAAAGACTCCTAAAAATGGCATGGTTCTGCTAACATAGCTGACCCTTCTGCATCTAGCAGAGCATCTCAGCACAACCATGGAAAGCAAAGCCTTCTTTTGAGACAAACCAGCTCTAGGCTGTGGCACCACATTACTTCTAATCACCACACACTAATTATCCATGTTAAAATACTCAGAGATTTATTCCTTTTGCATGATTGTAAAAGGCACGCACAATTTTTTCTTTTACTCCTCTTGTCACACAGCCTGAGCACAGCCCCTTGCCAATGCTCCCTTAAACACTCTGAAGGAACATGACTTGAAAAGTTGTACCTGGACCCCAAAGGTGTGAGCTTATGATGTTGGAAAAGTACCCACTTTTGCCTCTTTGCTCCTATTTCTGCAAGCCAGTGAGCTCTGCTCTCCCTCGCTGTAGTTACAGACTGCTACTCTTCAAGTCACCATGAGTCACACTAAGCTATGCCAGATGACTTGGACCTACAGCACGGCTGGTATTGTTCTCATATGACCAAAACAGAGAAAGAAGAATTTCACCATTGTGCTCTTGCAATACATAAGAATAGCTTTCTTTACTGTCTACAGTAGGCAAGAGTAATATTTCCTGCATTTCCCTCTTAACTTTCTAACTGGACAGGAAATAATACAATTGTATTAGGAGGCAGATAATAAACATCTCACGGGTGAGAATTTGCCATTCTGACTCCTTGACATCATTTAAGGCTAGGCAGCTGCCCTCTTAACCTACCCATACAGCTAAGCTGCTCTGCATCCAATAGTGGAACCAGACCACTGGCCAAAACTATTTCTAATGAAGAATAAAACCTATTAACATGATAACTGAACATTCCCTTACACTAACAAAATACTAGGACAGTGTGATGAATTCTGTGGCCAGAGCCCTCCATACTTTTCCAGCACTGGAGGGGCTGCAAACTAGACTACTAGGATTCAGCTGGCCTTAGTACTGGGAAGACAGTCAAGTGTCAGTAACATCTTACATCTTCCACTTGGGATGTAACTCAGTGAATGGTTTCTCTAATGGCAAAGTAAACTTAAGATCACTGCTTATTGCCAGACTCTGTTTTGCTGATGCAAATATTTATGAGGCTTTGCAGTAAAGGAAAAAACAAACAATCCCCACTGAATTTCTCCTGTTTACCCAGATTGCTTTATTTTTTATGATGAATGCAAAGCTGCTCTTGGGTGCATGCACACAACACCAAAATTAGCACAGCTTTGCTTTAAATAATTGCTTTCATTTTCTGATGCAGCCTGGTCTGTTTCATACCATAGGATCTCATAGATATTATATTTAGTACAGTATCTAAAAGACATACCATGGCATGGTATGTGTCTCCCCATCTCAGCTACTGTAAGCTTATAGCAGGAAGTGACGTCTTCATCTAAAAGGGTCAAATGGAAACAGGGCAGGTAAAGAACTGTTGTCAAATGAAGTGGAAATGAATTGGACTGAAGGAACATGGGAGAGGTTGTGAAAAAAAGAGAAGAGACAAAGAAGAGTGTAAAAGGGCAGCCACTAGCATAAGGCGGACAAGAATTAAAAAAAAAAAAAATAAAAAAAAAGATATTTGGAGCTAGAAAGTGAAGAGTAAGGAGAAATGGGAGGCTGGAAACAGATGTAAATAAGATTATCTGGGCTGCAAGGATCTGCAATGATTTGTGCACATGCTTTACAATACATTTTTTAAAAAAACCTTTTCAACATTTTCAGTATGTGTAATTGATTCATGAAAATCATGTTTTCTGCCTCTCTGTTGTTTGGTTTTGGAAGCAGTGGGTTCCTTCTATGAAACTTAGAGAAAAATTTGAACTTTAAACATTCCCACAAGATACAATTCTTAAGGCAGAAACACAAATAAAAATGTGCAGAAGAAGTCTATTTTTGAGACTCCTTCCTCCTTAAGTCCACAGGATAAGTGACAGCCCGCAAATGAATCAGGCTGCATCAGGAATAAGGATGTTGAAGTTGGTGTATAATATGCAGAAGTTAAATATGGTCATGTGGCCCATGTTACTGAAGAGACATGCTATTATGGATTGTGCAACTCATAGTTTCCTGAAAGCTAATAGCTTTAAATTCAGACATATTAAGTTCACTTGGGATGTAACAATAGTGTATATTTCTCAGTTGGTCATTACTTGAATAAAAAAACCTTAAGTCAGCTTAAAACAATTTTACGCTACACTTCTAACCATAGAAGAGCACGCATTCTACTTTGCATTAAACAATTTATGTTCACATCTGTCACATATTACTCATTGCCTCTTTTCCCGCTTCCCTGAGGGGAGCTTCTTGTTTTGACAGTATTTTAATGTCTGTATTTCTGGCTAACTCTTGATATACAAAGCAATGATTCCAAAAATAATGTAAATTTATTTCTAATTTTGATATTTCTACTTCCTCTGCATTGAGCATGAATTGCTACTCTTAGCTTAGAGAGAAGAAAAGCCTACCAATAAATGCAGTAAGAAAAAAAAAAGAGCTAATTGCTAAACATCACCTGCTATTATTATCCCTGTTTTTCATTAAAAAAAACCATAATTGGGTGTGACGGGTAAGAACTATCTTCCTCATATGAGATCTGTGAAGTATTTGTCAGCTGGCCAAAGTGATATCCTGAACCATTTTTTCCTTTTATACAGAGAACTTTCTATTGATACATGGCACACATAGATAAAGTCAGTAAGAAATGCTTATTAGTGGACAACCAGATGGCAAAGACTCTTATGAGTATTTGATGGTTCTCGTCTTCGCTCTAACATGAACTATAACACAAAAAAAAATTTAAATAATTTTTACAGTTTTATATAAATGCTAAACCCAGTAACCGAAGGGAAACTGAATAGACTTGACATGTTAATTATAAGT